ACAAGCTTTATAGAATTCCTTTGTTTCAAAAATAAAGGCCTTACTTTAGAAAGCTTAAATCCAAGCAGCAAAGATACTACATCAGAGCAGAAAAATGCTGCACATTTCACAGCTGTGCCAGTTCTTCCTTGGCAGACTACTCCCATCCACCACAACACTCTGCCTTTCAGGAGGAAATCCCCAAGTCACACACTTGTCAAATCCACGCTAACATACTGCAAGTCCTTGGCCTTTCTAGAGGTCCAGATTGCATCCCTGATCATTTCCACCATTCCTTAAATCAAAATGGGAGGAATTTGGCATTTCCAATGTGAACGGGCTCCTCTTCCTCTGTCTGGGATTTCTTTGGAAGAAATGCATACGTATGTGCCATACACTGTACAGATTTTGGTCACATCAGACTTCAGATACTACACACTGCAAGATATATGCATATTGGAAAAGCATTTGACTCTTTTTTTCCTAATATTTTCCATCAGTAATGTGCTCTTTGTTACTGAAATCAGACAAACCATTAACCCATTCAAGCCCCAAAAGCAAACACTATAGAGAGCCTGTATCTGGCCAGTATTTATCCATCTGACATTCCTTCTTTGTCTAGCTGAACAATGTACTTGGACAGAAAAAGAGGATATAGCAGGGAAAACAGAGAATTCCTATCCAGCAGGGTCAGCGTTGTGCCTGGCTAACCAGCCTTTGGCAGCAAGCCATTAACACAACCCAGGACTCTGAGAATCACTACAGGAGGTTTAGGTGATATCTGTCTGTCTGACTTGCCAACCCCATGGACACTGCGCCTCTTATCTGGGATCATTCTTTAGAGCATCTTCGTCGATAAAAACCCATGATCTTGCAGTTGAATGCAAAAAAAAAAAAAAAACCTTCCATGAGACACCAAAAGTTTGGGGGCACCGGCCCACAATTTTCTGAAGGTATAATGTCAAATTATGACAAAAACCCCCTGAGGATATTTTTGTACTGTTCAGCCATAAACCTAAAAATAGGCTTTTGGGTTATAGATGAGAAGAATAAAAAGAAAAAGAAAAATATTTATTAAAAGATATTTTAAATATTAAAAAGGACTGCAAATAGAAAGGTCAAAGCATTCTTTGTGTTCACCGAGCATATGACAATAGGCTTGAATTGCAGCAGGGGAGATTTAAGGTAGCCATTAAGCAAACAGTTCTTAATGGCTAAGAACTGGGGGGGAACAAAAAGGGTATTAAGGAATTTCCCTCACTGAAGTTGTCTGGGTTTTTTTAAGAACAGGTGAGCCAAAGGATGTTTCAGGGTCCATGGATCCTGCCTTGAGGAGCAGTGGTGAGCCAGATGCCCTTCTCTCTGAGTCAGTTACCTCCACGATTTAGTAGGAGAGTTCAATTCTGTGTCTGAACAACAACATGTTTATTACAAATGGGTTCTATAACAGAATACAGCATGGGGGAATTTTTTGCTTGTTTGGACAGAGAAAATGACAAACCCTGGCTGTTAGAGCTCCAAAAAGATCAGAACTTGATTGAATA